CATGCAGAGGGGCTCAGGTACAATCCTTGGAACATCCAGCTAACATCCAGCTAAGAGGTTTGGGAAGTATGTGATGACCTCAGACACTGATAAACCACTTCCAGACTGAGCCGACAGTGCTGACTTTGATGCACAAGTGGTCTGGCAACTTCATACGTTCATGCTATGAACGAATACTCAGGTACAATCCTTGGAACATCCAGCTAACATCCAGCTAAGAGGTTTGGGAAGTATGTGATGACCTCAGACACTGATAAACCACTTCTAGACTGAGCCGACAGTGCTGACTTTGATGCACAAGTGGTCTGGCAACTTCATACGTTCATGCTATGAAAGAATACTCTATTTTTTAAAAAAACATTCTGTAATAAAAACCAGGAGCTGTGGTGGCTCAAGTGGTTAAGATGCTGAACTGCAGGCTGTGGAAGGTCAGTAGTTCAGCAGTTCGAGACCCGAGTTGCCGCATGACGGAGTGAGCTCCCGTCTCTAGTTCCAGCTCCTGCCAATCTAGCAGTTTGAAAGCAAGAAATTGCAAGTAGATAAATAGGAACCACTTCGGTAGGAAGGTAACAGCATTCCGTGCGCCTCGGTGTTTAGTCATGCCGGCCACATGACCATGGAAACGTTTTCAGACAGTGCTGGCTCTTCGGCTTTGAAATGGGAATGAGCACCGCAACCCTAGAGTCAGACTCGACTGGCTTTCGAGCAAGGGGACCTTTACCTTTTACCTAATAAAAACCAGTGCTCTAACCAGGCTAACCTTTCTCATCAGATCTTGGAAGCTAAGAAGGGTCAGCCCTTGTTAGTATTGGATTGGAGACCACTAAAGAAGTCCACTAAGCAGAGGCAAGCAATGGAAAACCACTGTCATGAGCCAGCCAGCTGCCTCCTCCTCTGTGGATGTGGAAATGGAAGAGTCAGGCCCTGCACTGGTAGAATGCTCACCTGTGCAGCTGAATCTAGAGGTAGAGCCTGAAAAAGAAGCATCAGGAAATGAGGGTTGCTCATTCTGGAAGGACATGAAAGAAATGGGACAGAGATCAGAGTGTCAATCGCCATCAGAGTCTCCTGAACCAGCTCAGGAGAGACAAAGAAGTGCCTGGTTAATTGCACAACAGTGATCAGCAGCAAAGAGCATACTCGTTCAAGGAGCAGGAAAAACAAGCCGGTAAGAAGCAGCACCTGTGTTTCAGAGATGGGTCAGCTAATTAGGCATATAAAAGGAACACACTGAGCAGATCTTGTTGTGGAAGCAACTTTGCTTGCCACCCCCGCTGTGAGCTGACTCACTCAGCAAACAGAGTATTACCTTGCTTGCTGACTTGCTTCCCCCCCCCAGCTAGAAACCCAGCCCCTGTCTCCTATCCTGGCTTTCAAGCTTTGGACCTTGAACTCCAGACCTCCCTGCCCCATTGCCTGTCAAACAGAACCTTCAGCTTCCTGACTCTATGCTGGTTTGTTGACTTTGCACTTGTCTGTTGCCTTGACTGTTTGTGATTACATCTGTGCATCCCAGAACTCCCAGGCAGAGTAAAAGCACCAGGCTCTGCCCTGGATGTGACATTTGATTGCTTATTGTTGTGTTTGTGCATTCTGGAGGCTCATGAATGGTGAATGTCAGACTTGCCCTTGAACACAACAACCACCTGCATTCATTTCTTGCCATGAAAACTCTACAGGGTCACCATAAGTAGTCTGTGTTTTGATGACACTTTTAACCACCAATATGCACCAGTATCTAGTTGAACTGTGGCTGGTTTTTTTTGGAGGTAGGTGCTAAAGAAACCCTGTTTTCCTCATTTGAGTCTGAAACAAATGTGTGTAATTCCAAGACCATATTTTCAATGGCAATGAGGGAAGCACTACAGCAGTATACCTTCTTATACTACTGGAGTAATGCTAAAAGCCATGAGGCACAGAGAAAGAACTCTATGGTTCTTCCATATCATAAATAACCCAGTTTCCAAAGGGCAACCATACTGTGGGAGAAGCCACCATCTGGACTTCATACCTGTAGCCCAGGGCTTCCTTCTTATCCCAGCAGTGGGAGAGAAGGAGCACCAGCACTGCTCCTGAAACACAAAAAGTCTCGTTTGTAGCTTCTTGCTATTGTTCTTATTTACATGGCTGCCTTCTTTCTTTTTCTAACTTCAGTGCAAACTAATTATGTAGAGGTCAACTTAAATTCAAGGCTGTATCAATGCTCTCCCTCCCTGTAATAAATCTATAACTAGAGTGTTTAAAACCCTTTAGCTACATGTGCTATATCCTGACTTAGATAGCCCAAGCTAGCCTGATCTTGTCAGATTCTTGGAAGCTAAGGAGGGTTAGTCCTGGTTTGTATTTGGATGGGAGACTACCCAGGAAGTCCAGGGTTGCTTAGTAGAGGCAGTCAATGACAAACCACTTCTGAACAACTTTTGCCATGAAAACACTATTTGTTGTTGTTCAGTCACACTATTTGTTGTTGTTCAGTCACACTATTTGTTGTTCAGTCACACTATTTGTTGTTGTTCAGTCACACAGTCGAGTCCGACTCTTCGCAACCCCATGGATCAGATCATGCCTGGCCTTCCTGTCTTCCACCGTCCTCTGAAGTTGGCTCAACTTCATGTTCATTGCATCTATGATACTGTCTAACCATCTCATCCTTTGCCGTCCCCGTCTTCTTTGACCTTCAATCTTTCCCAGCATCAGGGTCTTCTCCAGTGAGTGCTCCCTTCTCATTTGGTTGCCAACGTATTTGAGCTTCAGTTTCATTATCTGGCCTTCCAGGGAACAGTCAGGGTTGATTTCTTTTAGGATTGACTGATTTGATCTTCTTGCAGTCCAAGGGACTCTCAAGAGTCTTCTCCAGCACTATTGGGTCACCATAAATTGGCTACAACTTAACTTTAAAAAAAACCCAGAAACATTTGCTTTTGTAAAAATATTATACATTTGTGAGCTTAATTTGCAAGCAGATTATTCTTTATGGCAAAGGTTCAGCTGAGATTGACTTAGTTTTTATATCCTAATTGTTTTCCTTTACTGTTTCTTTTAACATCTAAGAGGGGAAAATAACTATTTGTCAAGCAGTTAAGCATTTCCTGTCCCAAACTGTTCCCTTGGCAAAACGTAAGGGAGAGCTCAACTTTTCTTCTACTGAGTATCAAGAAAAAAAAATTGTCTGCCAAAGATTTATAGATTAACTAATTATTATTTTGTTCAAGGAAGAAAAAGAACTACATTGGCTGGAGGCTAATAGTGAAAGACTAATGAAGATGCAGAAGGGTGGCAACCCTAAACGGGGAGAAATATGACAGGCAAATGTTTTTTAGTAAGCTGGGCAAACAAAATTCTCTTTGTACCCCTGCTGGTTGAGGGAAACCCTAAAAGTAAACTTATATTTTCTTCTGTCTCTTTGTTGCATAGCCCTGCACTCTGCCTTAGTAATGATAAATGAGACTGGAATTGTAATGGCTAACTTCAAAATGCTATCACCATCTTAACCTCGACTGGAAAGAAAATGTCAACTGCTTGCCGAGCCCTGAATTGATGTCTGTTATAAAGTCAACACAATAATCCAGAACAAAATATGTTCAATCCCAAGCCTTTGCCATACGGCCACATGGTTCCACCTCTGAAAATGAAATGAGACCTACAGAAGCTGTGTTTCAGACAGGAAGTTTTGAAGGCTGAACTCTTGTGTCAGGCTGTATATGTGTATACTTCGTGGATTTCAGTGGGAAGTGTATCTGGCAAATCCAAGACTGAATCCCTGCTCTGGCCATGGAAGATCGCTACGTGATCTGGAGACAGTCACTCTCTCAGACTAATTGACCTTATAGTATTGTGATGAAGATAAAATGGAGGCAAAGAAAGCAATGTTCTAAATTGCTTTGGGTCCCCACTGGGAAGAAAAGGTGGATATAAATATCTGAACAAAGAAACAAACTCAGAAGTCTCTTTATTTCCATGCAGCTCCACATAAGGGAAAGCACTCAAAAAGAAGGTTGAAAGTGCTAGTTCCCTCCTTTAATTCATGTGCAATAGTTATACTTGCCAGGAACTTAAAAACAATAATGTGAGAAAAGTCAAGAACCCCACAGATCGGGTACATGAAGCTTCAGGGTGCACTTTAAGGAGCCTCTCCAGGTGGTGGCCTATGATTGCACTCCAGTGATACCATGGTTAAGCTATAATTAATGTAAAAGTTCTTGCTAGCCTAGTGTTCCCAACTCATACAGTTAGCTCTGTGAAATGGAGACTCTCCCTATGCATGTGAAGGATTTCATTTAGAGATGGAAGAGACTTTGGAAAATATCCACAGAAAGCAGACACATCAGAAGAGAAATGTAACCCTAATACATTCTATTGAATTAAACTGAACAGATTTTATATATGACAAAAGGTAATTAATCATTTCTGGCATCTGAACAGGCAGTCGATGGCCTACAATCTGTACAGCTGGGACCCGAAGAAGTTCTTTAGGGGCAGCCAACTGCTTGTACTTGCCTAGCGGGATTTTTGGCTTGGTTTACTTCCAAAGATCTCCATGATACACTGCAAACTATTTGTGAAAGTTCCCTTCACTGAAAAAGTACTCTGTGGAATGGTTCAGATGGGGGGTATTGCTCAAGAAACACAAACTTGTAAACCACTGCATGGTTATTTTGATTTTAGCATACACCCTATTAAAATTAGCTGGCCTCAAAGCATGCCACATCTCAGACTTTAGATAACTATACCCTAAAATGAATGCACTTAATCTTAGCATACCATATTTGTCAAAATTCCAGACATGAATACAATCATGTGTGCATAAATCACTTTGAAACCAACAGGACCTCCAGGTGTATGGCTGTTCATAGAACATCAATAAGTTCCTCTCAAATGCAATACAAATAAATTCAGTAAAAAACCCAAAAAACTGGACAGTCAAGGTAGGGTTCATTGGTAAGGAACTCCCAAAGTACAATCATATGTGTACAACTGGTATGAAAAAATGACTTCCTTACCTAAACACCTTGTTTCAGTTCCACTCCATAGTCCAGATGACAGACATTCCCTTACAGCTGAACCCACCAGCATGAATCCCAAATCACATGTAAAAATTGCTGTCGATCCATATGTGATTTGAGTTCCAATCTTATTCCCATTTGGAGGTATAGGAAGTTCTCCACATGAAATGACTAAAAGGGTACAATAAGATGAAATATGCTGTACATAGTAGCCAAATGCAAACATTTAATATTCATCTTTCATTGAATTAAAATTCTAGGCGCCTTAAACAGACAAAAGTCTGTTAACAATTAATATGACATCGGAAGAATATATGTATGATTGCTAGAGGGGAAAAAGGATAGATCATTCAGATACAACTGAATAACTGTATAGTTGTAATGCTCATTTTGTCGTTGTTTATGACACATCTTTGAACTTACCTTCTGAAATGTATGAAGCTATCCTTGAACACAGTGCAGAAGCTACAACTTGTGAATAATGACTGTCATGTATCTATCACAGTGCAGTCTACGGGCTGGATCCAGCCAACATTTTCTCTTACTTACTACAATTCCTCTGCCACAACATGGTTTTTGTCCATGCAGATCCCATGGTCCCCAGCATAGCCTTTTTTGGTGGTGCAAGGGGACCCCTTCCTCTCTTTTTCACCAGTGGAGAAGTGGGTTGTATCCAACACTATGTATGTTTGCTGCAGTCCTCAAAACATTCACTACTAACTCATTTTAGATTTGTTGTATTTTCAAGAGGACTTCTTGAGGGCACAGCTAGATGATACAACATCCCCAGGGACACATAGTAAGAGAATACCTGCGGTAAAATGGCTGTGATGACCCAAATCATCCAGTTGTGCCCTGAGACTATTGTATAGTTAAGAGTTGGAGCAATACGGCCAATGAGAAGTTTTCCCCAGTGCCAGATCTCTGGATTCTAGGAAATGTAGTAAGTAGGTGAATTGTACATGCATGTGCTAAGCTATGACAATATGGATACAGAAGGCCTGTGAGCAAAGTAGACATTTAGTAGATGAACAAAATACTCACTTTGGCAGTATGGTCTCTCATTTCTCCAACTCCATGTTCCATTGGCAAGGCATTCAATGGATTCTGGTCCCAATCCATGGTACCCAGGGTCACAGCTGAAAACAACTTTTGTTTTGTATTCATAGTGAGAGCCATTCACTATTCGCCATCTCCCATGTTCCAAGGTGAATGAATTGATGCTTGGGCATGTAACAACTTGAGATAGATACACAGAGAAATAAAAACAGTGTGCCATTTTTGTCCTTTCATAAAAAGGAAATTAACATGCATTGGAAAAAAGAACAATTTGCCTTGAATACTAATCAGATGAGTTCATGCATTGTGGATAGGATATTATCTAAGTTCATAACCTAAACAGATGCACAGTGATCTACAGGCAACAGCTAAATTGGATTCTTGCTGAATTTCAGCATAAAAATAAAAAAAATCTGGGTTTAACTTCTTATCTTTGGATTTGGTGGGCGATTATCCAGATTTATATTAATGCTCAAAATAATTACTTAATGGATTAAGTATGACAGCCAAAAAGTGCTGTATGTATTTGGCTACTGATTTAATCCTTATATAAGTACCTTGGCTCTTTCTGGATTATAGGCATGATACCATTGTCTTCCTCTTACATATTGAGAATTCCCGTTTTTACTTTCCCACCAAGTAAAATCTTCACACTAGCAGAAATACAGTGATAAGGGGCATCACAATTGCTCTAGAATATGATCCCATTATGGTTCTTTGTCTTTTGCATTGCCCTTTGAACGAACTGTGATTAATTCTTTTGCTTCAACACAACATCAACATCTCCTTCTTCCTTGAATTTACCACCATGGTGTTACATAGCTTTTGATATTTTTTCATTAGGTCAGGCCTATCTAAACAGCTTCTAAAGACCTGACAAACCCTTTTCAGCTCTCTTTTCCATTTTGTCGCTCCATCAGTTAATTGTTGTGATACCTTTAAAAAAACAACAACAACAACATATATTTCTCCCTTTAAAATACTAGTAACAAAGCAGGGACTCCAGCTTTAAACAGCAAAAATGGAGTGGAAGTTAAAGGGTTAAACCCTTTCTTCTTTCTCTGCTTAGCTTGTGGCTGAACAAGCCTGCAATTTGAAATTTAGGCAAGAGTGAGTTGCATGGTGTTCGTCCCCTCTGTTTCAGCCCTGACAGTCAGCCACCTTATGCAGCATCTTGGTGTGCTCCAAATGATTGAGATTTCAGGGATAGAAGATACAGCCCATAATATTAAAGCTTGGACATAATCCACTAGGAACTTTTCCTTTCCATACACCGACACCTGTACTATTCTGAAATTCCCTGTCCATTTAGCATCCTCATTCATTGCATTTTTCTGCCACTGTTACTTTAATAATTCCACCTCTATGTGTAGTTTCCAATATTTACAGAACACTTTATTTAACAAGATGCCTTTTTAAATGCACATACTATTTTACAGTATTTTCTTTCATATGCACAATTTACTTTAAGTCATGCAGTGGTAGCAGCTGCTTGCCAAAACAAGTGGGTTTTCCCCCCAAAAAAATCTAACCAGCCAACCAAAAGCCCTGTCGGGTAAAAGCCCCACCCACATTCTAAAAACACTTGTCGATCACTGGTAAAGGTGTCGGCAGGCTCCGTGGCTTTCATGGATGGCACGATGGGCAGCTCTACTTTCTCCATATCATTTGCCTTTGAAAATATATCTCTTGAACTATCAAATGTGACCCCTTGAAATATACAACTTTAGTTGGTAAAGTAACACCGCTACTTGTTTGAACCTGGATTGTCCTTACCTACACAACGAGGTGTTTTGTTGTGGTTGCTCCATGTGCCATCTGGCTGGCAGGCTGCAGTTGTAAGTTCCTTGGACGATAGCCTATATCCATCATTGCAGAAATAAGTAACTCTCGTGCCTACTAAATAGTCTGTTGTCAGTATCCCACCATTCGCTGGTGCTTTTGGAATTCCACAAGATATAGCTGAAGATTTAAAACAAACAGAGATACGATTTGTTTGTCTTACCACAACCTGTATTTTGCGGATAATATCTTTACAATTCATAAACATGTAGGTGATTGTAATGAGACAGCATTTATCTTGGGTAGGAACAAATGCAAAGACAGGGAGTTAACGGTCATAGTTCCTGGCCCTTCGTCCATTGAAATTTGTACACCATGCTTCTGAGCATATACCGGAAACATGATAGTTTAACATATATGCAAACACCATATTAAAAATAGGAAATACGGATACTGGTTTGTATGTAGTCAGCTTTTTAACTTGATCTCATTTAATTCTCCTTCTTTATTACAGCCACCATCTCCCATCTCCCTTTTGTCCATGCAGATCCCATTATCCCCAAAATAGCCTATTTTGGGTAGTGAAAAGGGACCCCTTGTTCCTCTTTTCTTCAGTAGAAAAGCTGGTTGGATTCATTCCGTTGTGTACGGGAGCTTATATGCATTTGAATGTTTACAGGTAGGATCTGTGCAGAAGCGACCCTTACATACATGGGGTTTGGGCTGGTGGGAGTAGGCCTGATTCCCCTTGACACTTTCATGTCTATCTAGATATATTCCTGAACAGGGGTCATTTCGGGGGGGAACGCGGGGGAACGCAGTTCCCCCGGGTGAGGTGCAGGGGGGCGGGGCACATGACGAAGCCCTGCCCCCTGCTTCTGGCCGCCCCGCTTCCAGCCCTCATTCAGCCAGGAGGAGGCAGGAGAAGAGGGAGGGTAAGTTGCTTCCTCCCCGCCTCTCCCCACCCCTGCCTGCCTGGGGCCAGGGAGGGCCTTGGCGGGGCTTCCTCGCACTCCCACTGGTCTTGCAGGTCCACCACCGGGCCCCTGATGTCAGGGTGTGTGGCATATGCTAATGAGTTATGCTAATGAGTTCCCCTAGCTCTTTTTCTACGAAATGACCCCTGTTCCTGAAGCAAGGAACCTTACAAAACATGCCAATAAAGATTAAAAGGATATATTAGAAGGGGCCATAATTTCACGTTCTCTCTTATGCCCCTCTTCCTCTCCAGCTTACCACTGTAGCTGACTATAATAAAGATACACTTGTGGGGGCATCTCATTTCCCCCTGTTTTCCCTCCCCAACTATTCCTCTTTCCCAAAAAACTCCCATAGCCTCTTCCCTTTTTCTTCTTCCTTTTTTTCTTCACACCCACCAGCCATCTTATCTTTATCTGCGCCTGTGTCTTTAGCTTTCCCTCCTTCCCTATCCCTGACAGCCTCTGCCTGGGAAAAGTCTGGCCAGCCTCTGAGGTGACAAGTCCTGGGCTCCTCCCAGTGCCCTCCTCCTTCCCAAAGTGGTACTCTCTTCCCTGTCTGTTAACAAGGGATTACTCTTGTATTTAACACTATACAGGCTCCACCCCTCCTAGGTAAAGGTAAAGGTTTCCCTTGCTCGAAAGCCAGTCAAATCCGACTCTAGGGGTGCAGTGCTCATCTCCGTTTCCAAGCTGAAGAGCCAGCACTGTCCGAAGACGTTTCCGTGGTCCTGTGGCCGGCATGGCTAGATGCCGAGGTGCACAGAATGCTGTTACCTTCCCACCGAAGTGGTACCTATTTATCTACTTGGTTGGCAGGAGCTGGGGCCAGAGACAGGAGCTCACTCTATCATGCGGCACTCGGGTCTCAAACTGCTGAACTACCAACCTTCCAGTCTGCAGTTCAGCGTCTCAACCTGTGGGCAAATTCCACAATCTTCCCAAGGACCCACTGCATACAAGCAATACTATATCCATGCTTGCTCAGAATAACAAGGACTTTCTGTGTTCTTCTTCTTGTTCTTTGTTATATTGGTCCGTTGACTGGAACAGCCAACCGCTGCTGTATCTATCCATCAAGTGATCTTTTGCCAGTCTTCTTTCTCAGTTCACAGCTGACATCTGCTCATTGTGCTGTCTGCCATCAGTTTGCTCAGCTCAACCCACATCCCTGCTACTCTTTTATCAAGGCCTATCTTACTCTGTCACCTTTGTCCACGCTGGCCAAACAGTCTATAAGCTCTCTGGGAAAGCACTTTGTCATTTGTTTGTTCTCTACGGGACACTGCATCCTCTTGGCGTTAAATAAATGTTAAATCATGGCAGTAGTAGTAGTAGCAAGAGCGACAGCAGCTCCAGAACATGGTTGTTGCCGGCAGGGGAGTCAGGGCAAGCCACGTACAAAGCTTCAGTGTACTTTTGTATTCTGTCATTGTCACACTGTTTGCTTTAAGATTTCTTAATAAAGTCATTGCACCCTTTCTTTTTTCCAATAACCACGGCTCCTTCTATTTCCTCTCCTAGTTCTCCTGGAAAGCTAATATTTGCCAGATATTGTTTCACTGTAGATGTTTTCTCATAACGGTTTTTCACTGTTCTGCCTGTCAGAAGTGCTATACATTTGAGGGGGGGGGATATAAACTTCTGCAGCAAACTACATGGAGTGGTGAAAATTTCATTACGGAAAACTATACACCCTGCCTCCTCCCCTTTATGAATCATTCAGGCATTGATCAATGCAGAAATGTTGATATATAACACTGGGGGGGGGGAGCCAAAGCATATAATATTCTTCTGAACCGGTTGCAAGCATGATGCTTATTTTTGTTTGCTTCAAAATGCTCTTTCAAACATCTCAGCTCTGTGCCCAGAGACCCAATAAATGATCTATAATATAACAAAAGAATCATTGGTTTGCTAGAGGCCACTGACACAACACTTATCCAGAAGAAAACTAGGAACAAAAAGGAAACTAAAATGTAAAAGACAACAGGGCAAGTTATGTTAAATACAAGTTCTTAAAAAAAAATCACAAAGTGCATTTTGGATATTTCACAAATGGAGGTAGAAGACCTCCCATCCAACCCAGAGACATGTGGTTCTTGGGTCGATTCCACAGTACAACATTTAACTTATTAGAGAATCAGGTCAACTTTCTCCATCTGTATGTGGGGAACATATATCAAACAGTGAGATACTGGAATCAGACTGGGTTTGGGAAATGTAGATCTGAGCAACAGACAACTTCTGCACTCTTCTACTCTCAGTTTTATGACCTTTGGGGACACTTTAAATCAGGGTGCTCACTCTGCAGCTCATGGAGAGCCACACTGACAATTCCCAGCAACCAAAAGAGCCACATGACTATTGTGCGCTCTGTACACCACCCCATCAAACACATACACTAACATATGACATAACTATTAACATGATTAAACAGAGTACCTATGAGCTTGTAAGGCTGTCTCTGCCTACTACTGTTGAAGCTTAGCCAGCCCTTGTGCAACTGGAATGAGGGAAAGGGCTTCCCTCTCTCTTCAGCATGAGGCACAGCAGGTCAGGTGAGAGAGTGAGATTGCTCAGGTGCAGGGCCGGCTCCAGGCATTTTTGTGCCCTAGGCGGGGCTACCTTCTGGTGCCCCCCGCCCGCGTGTCCACCAATTATGGGGGTTGCCAATCTCCAAGCGGGGCCTGGAGAGAAGGATCCCGATGGGTCCCTGCCCCCCTCTGCTGCCACATAAATCAGTTTGCTCTGGAGCTGTCCCTTCCTGAGCCGAGACAAAATGTGTGAGCTGGAGGCTAAAAAACTGTGAGCCAGTGCACACTCACTCAGCTTAGAGGGAACACTGCTTCCAGCGAAGCTGCAGAAAAGCACACACATAAGCCACAGTCTTTGCAAATGGGTGGGGGAGGGACGGACAGAGAGAGGAGGGGAGGGTCTGTCCTTTCCAGTCAGCTTGGAAATTCGTGCACCCCGGCAGGAAGAGCGAAATGTCCCAACCCCTGATCGTATTGACACTGGTTATCTCTCCGGCCTTCCCCGCCCCCACCAAGTGTCTTCTAGAGAAGGAGGGGTGGAAAGGGGGAGAGGGATTTCTGCAAAGCAGCAGACGTGGGTGGACGGAAAGTCAAGGGGAGGGGAAACCTCACGCTGGTTTGGGACCCCAAAGAATTCTAAGCAAGATGAGTCGGTCTATCTGTAGCTGGAGAAACGGGTGAGTCCAGAAGCACCTTCAAGACTAACAAGATTGGTGGGTGGGTGCGAGCTTTTGGAAGTCACTGCTCACTTCTTCAGATACCTGGAACCAACGTTCCCTCTGAGCTGTGGAGTGTTGTGAGCAAAAATGCTACCTTGTGAGCTACCGGTGTTAAAGTTCCTTCCCTCCCGTCCCGCTTACCTTGGCCCTCCCCGGAGGTGCCCCTCCCTGTCTGAGAAGCGGCAGCCCAGCAGGCAGGAGGTGCCCAGGAAGGTAGGCTCGAGGGAGCCCCTGAAATGGGTGGGTGAGGGGCGGGCGAGCGAGTGCGCAGCCAGGGTGGGCGGGTGGTAGCCGCAGCAGCCTCTGCACCTGCGCGGACCAGCTGCCGGTGGGGGACAGGGAGCGGGCACGTTGGGCCAGGCCGAGCCCCCATTGGAAGACAGGCCGCCTGAGCCCACCCCAACCCTGGTGAGTGGCCACCGCCATTCAGAGGGGAGACCACCGCCGGATGGACGCGCGGGGCACCTCAGTGGCACTTTTGGAGGGGAAGGTACAGTTTTGGGGGGTGGCTCCAAACTGCACCCGGCCCCGCCTCCGCCAAAAGCCTTGCATCTCCATGACCGCTGCCGCCGCCTCTTTCTCCCTGAGTCCGGCAAACTCAGCGCTTTCCGGACTCAGGGAGAAAGAGGCGGCGGCAGCCAAGAAGATGTAGGGCTTTTGGCAGGGGGCCGGGTCCAGTTTGGCGCCCCAAGGGCCGGCTCGTGCTATAAGTGAATGCCTAGTTCGCCTAGCACGTGAGCCGGCCATGCTCAGGTGTCTAGAGAAGAACCAGCTGGCTATGAAGAAAGGAGAGTAAAACCATCACCACCACACTACGGCCATCTTTTTCTTCTTCTTCAGTGGCTGCCATACTGCTGCTGGTGGTTTTACTCTCTCTTCTCTGCAGTAAGTTTGCACTCCTCCGAACAGATGCTGGGTGCTGGAATGAAAACATGGAGGTGGCAGGA